CTGTAATTAACTTCATCAAGAGTATCAGGTTATTTCTATGAAATAGCGTTTAGGCTTTTGTTTACATTTTCTTGATATATAAGACTTATTATATAAAATGTCATCCACTTAACAATTCATGATTAAAATTCCAATTGAATAAAAAAAGCCAAACCAAACAAAACACCAGTAGCAAAAACTAATAAGCACTCTAGTTGTCAAAATCTAGAAGTAATCTCCACCAACTACAAGTAAATGGAATCTGGGAAAATCAGCAAGTTGGTGCCCATACTTTGCCTTGTCTACCTGTGAGAAGTACAACAGACAGAAAATCCCTTGTCTTTTCACCAGACTTCCCCTTGATTTGGAGGCCCAAGTCTTCACCAGCTACAAAATGACACAGGCACTGCTTTCTATAGCTGCCAGAGCACTCCTGCCCTTTTTCCCCCACCCAAGGATACACACATGTACACTTCTGCAGAGACTGCTTTGCTGTACCTATGCAGAAGGCACAACTCCCGGGAATGAAGAGCAGAAAGTTGGGGTGAGGAAGGAGGGAGGAAGTAAACATGGCTATGATGTCTGCATCTGGTGAGGCATAATTCCGGGCATAAAAGTCATGTGAGTTGCAGCAGAGAGAGGGATATCACCAGTAGTTCTATACGCTGAGTGTGTCAATTATGACAAACACGCCCTTGGTCCCAGCCAAGGGCCACCAGCCATCGGTGACGGTTATCACTCCCTCCTTGACTGCAGGGCTAAATAAGCAGTAAATAGGGCCAAGGGAAAACTATTCAACTCATCTGCTGGGTTGTGCAGAATGTGAACAGCTCCTCATTTGACAGTGAATAAAGAGAAAACCCCAAATATGAGGTCTAATTTTTAAGCAACTGAGCCACCCCGGCACGAGGTCTAATTTTTAAAAGCCCTGCAGAACATAGACAGGTAATGGCAATCTGGTAGGCTCCAAATAGCAGCAAACTTTTGAAAATGATTTACGCTAAACACTAGAAAACATTTAGCGAACTATGGGCGTTCTCTGTAGGCTGTATGGAGCATGTCTTCTATTGAAACCAATTGGAAAGTAATAAGCATAATGAGATTAAAAGGCTATTAAAATGAATTTTAGAAAAGCACTAAAGTGAACAGAAGAAATTAGAAAGAATTTTGTAAAATATGTACACTTTCAAGGAAACTGGAGCTTCTACAGCCATTATTAAGAAGTAACCAGGACTGGAGCGCCTGGGTGGCTCAGTCAGTTAAGTGTCTGACTTAGGCTCAGGTCATGACCTCACTGCCAGTGGGTTCAAGCCCCATGTCAGGCTCTTTGCTAACAGCTCAGAGCCTGGAGCTGTTTTGGATTCTGTTTCTCCCTTTCTCTCTCTCTCTGCCTCTCCCCTGCTTGCACTCTGTCTCTGTCTCTCTCTCAAAAATAAATAAACATGTTAAAAAAAGATAATCAAGATTGTAACTATGTGTGTTGCTATACATTAACTAGATTAATTGTGATCGTTTCTCTGCATATACATATATTGAACCATTATGTCATACACCTGAAACTAATATATTATTTATAATTATTATAAATAATTATTTATTATAATTATATATTATATATTATAAACAATAATTATAATATATTGTTACATATCAATTATATCTCAATAAAAAATATGAGACAACCAAGGAAATCTGAATATTGCCGGATATTTGGTGATATTAAGATATTTGTATTACATTGTTAGGTCAGCAAACCTTGTCTATAAAGGGCCAGATAGCAAACGTTTTAGGCTTTGTGGGCCTACAGTCTATTTCTGCTACTCTGCTATGTCACTATGGCCTGAAGGCAGCCACAAACAACGCATGACAAATGGCTGTGGCTGTGTTCCAATAAAATATTATTACTAAAAATAAAAAAAGGAATCAATAAAAAGTAAAATTGACACCAGAGAAAATCTAATACATAATGTCAAACTTGAGAGGTTTCCACAGAATCTAGAAAAGAAAAACAGAAAAGAAAATGAGAGAAGAGAGTAGACATAGATGAATAAGAACAGAAATTGAACCTAAGAGGCCTTGGCATTGTGGAAGAAGAAACAAGAAAAACAGATCAAGAACTAACAACAAAAGCCACAGCTGAAGAAACTTCACAGAGATGGGAAAAAAGAAGAAACTCTCTGTGTACAGATTGAAAGGATTCAGTATGACTAAGCTAAATTAAGAAAAAAATGTATCCATGTCTATCCTGACAAAAGTTTTGTGTTTCCAGAGACGACGAAAATTATTTAAGGATGTAGGCCAAAAACAAAAGAAAGCTAAACCAAAGCAAATAAAGGAAAACATTAATCTTAAATGAACCCAAATCAGCCTGACCTCAAACTTCTGCAATAATAAATATCAGAAGACACTGGAGCCATGTTCACGGGATTCCGAAGGAGAAAAAAAATGTAACTGAAACCAAATTCTATTACATTCACATGTAAGGCCGTAGAGTACAATGGTTAAGGGTGCAGGATTTGGAGTCAAAGAGCCTGAGTTTAAATTCCAGCTGCCCCAGTGATCAGTGTGTCCTTGGGCAACTCACGTGTTTCATAGGACAGTGGTTGGTCTAAATTAAATGAGATAATTCACATGAAGTACTCAGAGCACTTACTAAAAGCCATTTGAACTTAATAAATCCAGTGGAAGTCAGAAGTTTAACTCAGATCTGCCTGCATCTAAAAACAGGCTCACACACCTTGTTGTCCAGTCCTGACCTCTCTGACTCTGCTTTGGGAGTTTGGCACCCGCCTCTGTGATTAGAATTACAGTACCTATAAATAAATTTTAAAAAAACATTAAAAAAAAAGAATTACAGTACCTATAATGGTAACTGGGATCCATTCTCACATTTAAATTGTCAATGGCTCTTCGAAGGTTCCAGGGTAATGTAAAGACTATGGAAGGAAGAAAATATTTTATTAGAAGGAGCTTAAGATTTTCATTGGTCACATCAATCCAAACACCATTTAAATCAGGCGGTATCCAGTTTCAATACTTAACAAAATTTTCTCACAGTCTCTTCCTCTTACTATTAGCGCTATTCAAGAAGGGACAGGAGAGTTTCTGGTGCCATTTGATCCAGATGCCCTATCTCATATTTGATAACTCCTAGCAGCTCTGAAAAATAAATGTTGGATCATGTGGAAACATCAATGGAGCTAGGATTTTGTTGTTGTAGTGTTGTGGCTGTTTTTCAAAGGGTCAGAAGATGCAATAGGCATAAGCCGGGCCCTCCTAAGAGGAGAGAACTGCAGCAAGCATAGGAGACAGGGGTTTCTTTTATTGTAGTTCACTTGCAGATCTGTGCTAATATCAGATCTTTGCATGATTATAGATACCTCTCTAGAATGCTGCTTCTCCTGCTTTCTTTTCCCTGCCTAGCGCTTCAGCAGTTGATATAGTCATCAGCTTATCTGGAATTGAGGTGCTGCATACCTATGCCTTATCTATTCTTGTGCCCAAAGTGACAGGAAGGTCTGGAAGCCATATTTTCTATATGAACCAAAGAACTTCTCCGATTTGTGATGTCATGTATAAGTTTCATGAGGTATAAGCAAAACAAATCAGTTCCGTGTCTAATGAATCATTTTTATTTTATTATCACATGAATTAGACCTCTTCTAGAAAATCCAAGGCTTCTTTATCTCACAACTTGCTCTTTATATTTGCTTGACTTCTGATGGACAAGGAGGAGGTAAAAATTCTTATTAGAAACAGTTTGGTTACTAGCAACAGAAAGTGCCTTTTGCAATCATAAGCAAAGGAAATATTTTGAAAGGATATGGAGTTATACACAAAACTGGGGGAAAATAAAAGTTTGGGAAAAACCAAAACCCCAAATTTTTCTTGAAAGAGAGAGATACAGAGAAGGAGATAGAGAATGAACAGGGGCAAAGGGAGAGTAAGAGAGAAAATCTTAAGCAGGCTCCATGCCCGGCACAAAGCCAGCCGTGGTGCTCTATCTTACAACCATGAGATCATGACCCAAGCCAAGATCAAGAGTAGGGTGTTTAACCAACTGAGCCACCCAGGCTCTCCCAGAACCAAAAATTAATGAAAGAGACAGAGAATGGAAGAGAGAAGGAAAGTAGGGAGGGATGAAGAAAGTGATAAATAAATAGGGATTAATTGGACAAGGTGAGTCACCACATTGGCTAGGGTAGGGTATGGGACATTGATTGTAGTCTATCACCCCAGAGAAGAACATCCTTGTGTATAAATGGAGGGTGGATGTTAGGCAAGCAAATACATGTGATTTTCACTACCAAAGTGTTCCAAAGTACTTACAAGCCTTAAATGACTCTCTCTGTCTGTCAGATGCACATATATTGCTTAATGCAGTTTCTGTTGGGGATTTCACTAAACATTGTCTATTCACACTCAGCGCCCATTTCTAACCCCTCCTATGTTTTTCAATACTTCCCATTCTTGGGAAGGCTGCAAAAGAACATTTGACACCAAAGTTCTGGAAATGATTTAAGTTCCATCAGTGAAATGCAACTGCATGAGATTTGAAAGGCAAGAAGGGGCAGGGAGGGACCTTTCAAGTATTTATTTTTCTGCAGTAGTAGCAATGCCAGACCCTGGCAGGCGTCAGATTTTCCAGTGGCCAAAACAGACTTTGTACTGGCCCAGTCACCAGTCTCACAGTCAGGGGCAACTGAGGCATCAGTCAGAATTTCCTTCAGTTCACTGGTTTCGGGACTATACCTACTAAAGCCTGAGCCTACCGAACAGCAGATGCAACCTCTATTCTACTGACTCTTGCGATAATTTTGTGAACCGCTAACTTCCCTATATTAAAGCCCTTTCTAATAGAGACAAGTGAAGCCATTTCTGTGTCCTGAATTACACCGTGAACGACACAGGCATCAAAAGGCTCCCTCAGTGTCACTATCAATATAAACTTTGACCTTTATTGCACATTCTTCCAGAGCTACATTGATCACCAATACTGTGTGTTTTATTTTCTTGTGTAGGTGGCAGAATTTTGTTGAACTGTTGAGTAAAGCTTCCTCTGATTTGCCACACGATTTGCCTACAGGTGAGTTGGGTTATTTAGTTCCCTGAGTGACTTCCTGTTTCCCAGAGCTACACTTGATTCTGTAGCTTCACTGTACGGGTTTGCTTGTTGGGTTTCGTCTCACTGCTTCAAGAAACGTAAATGGCTCACCAGCAAAGAAAAAGTAAAAGTCAGAGTTGCCTCACTGGCTATCCTTTTAGGCCAGTTGGATCATGAAAGGCATAACCCTTCAAGTTCTATTATATCGTGAAACAGTCTCTTGTGATAGCCCTTTAAGATGAATACAGCACACTTATGGGAGCAGTTGATGTTATTTATTAGAATTTCAGTTGCACAACCCCTTAGATCTAGGAATTCCTCAGCTAGGTACTTATCCCACTGGCATCTCACACACAAAAATAATTAAATTAATAAAATAAAATAAAATAAAATAAAATCTCTTGCAATATTGTTTAGTAAATGCTTCTAAACATGGAAACAAAAAAACATTTTTTTAACAAAAATAAGAATGGGAATGATGAAAAATCCTTCCAGGGACAATTTAATTAAATTATAGTAAATGCAGTTGATAAAACTATGCAGCTGTAAAACAACATGGCTGGCCTTGATACAGGAAGATTTCCAAGACATATTATTAAGTGAAATTATAAAGATTAATTTGGACAAAATATTTAGCAATTAGCAAGTTTTAAATATGACAGGTGAAAAAATATGCATTGATATTAATCTGCTGTTGCAATTTCTCTATTTACCACATCCATCAACCATTTACTAATTACCTTTTGGCTCAAAATACAAGGTACCGAAAGCTTGAAGGGATTGGGGGTTGGGTGCACAAGAATTAGAAGATTCAAGGAGCAAAAAGAAAATGGTGCATGTATTCATTTCCTTAAGGCTGCCGTAACATGGTACCACAAACTGGGTGGCTTACAGTAACAGAAATCTATTCTATCACAGTTCTGGAGACCAGAAGTCTCAAATCAAGGTGTCAGTAGGGCCATGCTGAAAGCTTTCCTTCCTTACCTCTTCCTGATTCTGGTAGCTCCAGGCATTCCTTGGCTTATGGTTGCTTAGTTCCACTCTCTGCCTGTCTTCACCTGGGCTTCTTCCCTCTTGGTCTCTCTCATGTCTCTTTATCTGTATCTCCCTCTTCTTTTTCATATAAGGACATCACTGTTCATTGGATTTAGGGTTCTCCCGAATCCAGAACGACGTCATCTTAACTTGATTACATAAAAAAGATTTCATTTCCAAATAAGACCACATTAATGGGTACCAGCGTTAGGAGACACAATTCAAAGCATGACAGTGGAGGGAACCCAGGAATTAGTAGCTGTAGGAAGCAGCTATCATCCTGAGGGCTGAAGGAACACAGATAAAGGGTACTGTTAGCAGAATCCTGGCTAGTGCTCCTATGTAGCTGATTCTAGGATCTCCAAGAATATGTCAAGCACCTAGAGAAAGAATTTTGAAGGAGGTGCCGCACAGCTGGTTCTTGGAATGCCACATAGTTTGAAGCTCAATCCTTTACAATGAGGCTGGTGCTTGGATGTGTGACAGAGCACCTTGTGGTCAATACTGGGCCCACTGAATGGGATGTGCTGTAGCTGTTAATCTGAATTTTGAGTTTCCACATATGATTAGTGCTGAGAATGCTGAGAAGCGTTATAGCAGTAGCTCTCCCCTGATGCTGGACAGATACTAACAAACTCCAAAAACAAGAAGTGAGTACTTCTACTCTACTCACATTCCAATCTTCCTCCCAGTGTCTACCATTGCTGGAATTTAGCCTAAAGCCAGGAGACCAGGGAATCTGGGTAATGGAGTTGTAGATCCCCTGCCCTGCATTACAGAAAAGAGAGAGAAGGGATGTGCTAGACGACAATAGGGTGATATCAAGTGAGGGTTCATTTTTCATGGTGAGGTCTGTAACTTCAGAGAACTCATCTTTGTTGAAAAGACAAAACAATTACATCAAAATAACAACAAATATTTAACATTTTTTAATGTTTAGTTTTTGAGAGAGACAAAGTATGAGCAGGGAGGGACAGAGAGGGAGGGAGACATATAATCTGAAGCAGGCCCCCAGGCTCTGAGCTGTCAGAACAGAGCCTGGTGTGGGGCTTGAACTCACGAACTGAACCGTGACTTCATGACCTGAGCCAAAGTAGGATACTTAACCAACTGAGCCACCCAGGCACCCCTCAACAGCAAATATTTAAACCAAACACTCTCTCTCTAATATAAGCCAGGTCATTTGATGCATTAGTTTGCTAGAGTGGCTTAAACAATAGACATTTATTTTCTCACAGTTCTGGAGACTAAAAGTTCAAAGTCACAGTGTCAGCAAGCTCAGTTGGTTTGAGGCCTCTCTCTTTGGCTTGCAGATGGCCTCTTTCTCACTGCATCCTCACATGGTCATTTCTCTGTGCATGCACATCCCTGGTGTCTCTGTATGTGTCCAAATTTGTGGTCTTATAAGGACACCAGCTAGATTGGTTTCTTCATTATAATGGCCTCAATTGAACTAAATCATCTCTTTAAATGGCCTGTCTCCAAATACAACCACATTCTGAGAAACAAGGATTTAGGGCTTCAACATAAGAATTTAGGAGGACAGAATTTAACCCATAACATACAGCATAGAAAACCGTATAAAAATATGTGTTGAAGTCACACTTTTACAACTAAATAATCACCTTCTATTCGAATGCTTATTTTACTTCTCTTGGACCCGTTTTTCTCATTTGCAAAAAGAACAGCAAATGTGAAAGAAATAAAAACCTGAGCTACTGCTCTGACTGGATTAAGTGGGAGTCTGACAAAAGTTTTTAGGCAATATTGCATTCTGCAGAGGGACAGGACTGTGGCAGTGTTATTGTTGCATTGGTGTTGTGATGGCCTGTTGCTTACTGAGCAAGTTCATGCCTTGATCTCTTCCCGTTCTGTATTGCTAGAGCTATGCTGATAAATGCTCTTAGACTCTCAAGGGGGCATTTATTCTGCCAGTTTTCTAGTTCCACAGGTGAGTATTATGAAAGAAGGTATATTTTAAGAAACTAAAGGCAGGTACTCATTTGGGGTGTGAAGAATTGTGATGTATCTCATTCCTGGGGCCTGTTTTCATTCAAAGATTCTATAATAACCTGTTAAAATGATTTATTTTTACATATACTGCTTAATATCACAAACTTCACCTCATTTTAACCCACAAGAATCCTATGAACTTGTTTTTTTAATATACCCATGATTATCACATAAATACTTAATATCTGTGACTTATGCTAAGATATAGACTGGGCTACTTTACAGTAAGACCAAATCTATTGGCATGATCAACACAAAGACTAGATAAAAGACAAAACAGTATTTCTCTGAAAGCTATTATTTGGAATTCAAATTGAATATCATATACAAAGGAGAAAAAAACCCTTGGAAGAAGTTAACATCGTATAAAATCTTTAGAATTGTTCATATAAAATTTCCAGATTCAATTATAAATAATCAGGAATGATACAAAACAGGAAATGGATTTTAAAATAACCGTAATTAATATATATAACAAAATGGATAAGATGGAGAATTTTAGCAAATAAATCTATAAAAGGAATCGTATGGAATATCTAGAAGTAAGTAATATATAACCTAAATTTTAAAAACTCAATAAATGAGTTGAACAGATAGTTGGGCATAGCTGAAGAGAGGATTAATGAACTGGATTATAGTAAGGTAGGAAATACCCATATTGAAGCATGAAGGAGAAGTGAGGCTAGAATGCACAAAAAAAGTATAGGAGACATATAGGAAGTGGCAAAAATATCCAGTATATATGTAATAAAGTCACAGAAAGATAGGGGAAGAGAAGAGCTGAAGCAATACTTGAAGCAATTATGACTGAGAAATTTCCAGACCTCAAACCACAGATCCAAGAAATGCTATGAACTCCCATGAAGACAAATACAGAAGAGCTTAGACCCCTCTAAACATGCTATGGACTGACATCTACGATAGTATTTCACAAAAATGAAGTATGCCCAAGTTGAATCTTTTCACTGTGGAGCCTGTGAGTGAGGATGAGGAAGAAAAAGCAGAAGCACAGAGCAGGGATATAGCAAAGCTGCTATCGGGAAGAATGACAGTAGCCTCAAAGGTGCATTGATCTCCTCAAACATTTCTTGAAGACCTATCACTCAACACAGGAAAACGACCAAGAGTTTAGCCTCCCTTTTATTATGGGGGGGGTAAAAAACCATAGTCCTTCCCACTTAGAACTATTTCTATTGAAGGAACAGAAAAGCCAACTCGGCTGAGACAATACAGAGGTTTGGTTTATCTAAATGAAAAGTCTGACAGCAGCAAGAACCAGAGACATGCTTTGATCTAGTCATTTAAATAATAAAATCCAGGATCTGGCTTCTCTCTGGCTCTCTGCTCTGCTGTACACGGTGCTGCCATCATCGTTAGGCTCTACCTGGTGGTGCCCCAACTATCCCAGGCACTTCTTCCGCAATCACAAAATAGCTATGACAGCTATGGTCATCCCTTTCCCAACACTGTCTTTCCGCCCATCCTGCCCAGAGGAATTTTACTAGCTGAGAAACGGTAGCAGATCTCTCCTCTAGTCTCAGATGCTTAGAGTAGATTTTTATGTTCACCTTTGGACCAAGGCTGTGATTAGGATAGCCATGATAGTCTTCAACTAACTAGAGACCAAGCTTGGAGCTGGAACTGGGGGATCATTCTTACCAAACCACAGCACTAGGATGGGGGAAGAGAGGTGCCCACAAAGCAAAATATGGTTCCTATCACTAGAAAAGGATAATGAAGGGGACAATCACCAGAGAAGAAATGAATGATGGAAGCCAAAATAGTAATAATAAATTCCAGTCACCTGCATGGCCCATGAGACCATTCAGTTCTGTGAATACTTGACCCACTTCCCTTTTCATCCTGCATCAACAAGGCTCTCCTCTCAGCTATTGCCTGAGTGCACCAAACATTCCTCCCTCCCTTGTGACCTTTCCCTTTATGATAGCTTTCTCTGGAAATGCTCTTTCTGCAGACATTTGCATTCCTTTATCCTTTGTTTCTCAGAGCTCTATTTGAATGTCACTTCAAGAGGCCTTTGGTGAATTTCCTCCCTTAAATAGCAACTGCCAAGACTTCCCCACCCCATAATTGGCTGCAGTGGCATTTCTAGCACTTATCACTACTTGATATTATTCTACATATCTATCTGTGTGCCCTCACCCCTGGAATGCACACTCCCTGATAAGATTGTCTCATTCATTGTTGTATCACAGTAAGCATGTAACAATGGTTGTTGAATGCGTGAATGAATTAGAATCCCAGACCTAACCCTACCTCTGTTGTCTTAAGCAAGAAACTGAACCTCGTGTTGCCTCAGTCTCCTCATTGGTAAAATGGAGACAATTTCTACCTCACAGGGTTATTCTTTAGATTAAGTAAGAAAACACGTGAGAAGTGTCTGGCATATATTTAGATATTTGACATACATTAGTTTCCTTCTCATAAAAGTTTCATTCACTAGGTCTGAGGAGGCCAGAAGTCTTTATTTAAATCAGTTGTTTTCTCCTGTGGCTTCACTTTAGAACTACTTAGGGAATTCTTTAGACGTTCTGAGCTGGGTTCTCACCCCCCAAGATGCTGATTTAATTGGTCTGGTGTGCCGCCCAGGCACTGGTAGTTTTTAAAGCTCCCCAAGTGGTAGCATATTAACAGCCAGGGCTGAAGATCACTGATTTCAAGTCATTGGGGAGGGGGGTGGGGGACAGGGAGGGCTGGCTGCGTGATGATCAGAATCCACTGGAAGCCCTGTAAAATCTGGCCCTTCCAACACCTGGAAATCTCTAGAAGCCAGCTTGGCTTATTTCCCCCAGTACAAATCATCAACTGGCAGACTAGACAGATGGTTATTATTTATCCTTCCTGCTGCGTTAGAAAAAAAAAAAAAGAGCTCTGCCTCGGGTTTCTCCAACCAGTTTTACATGTGCAAACCATTACCTCCTTATATGCTCATAGGTATTAGAAGGGAGAAAGGGAAGCTTAAGAGAGACCAGGGAGACTAGCACGTATTTTCTCCTAATGTAACTTTGAGAAGTGCAGACAAAAGAGAGAAACTGGCCTGGGACAAAGGCTAGGTTCTAGCTCTTATGCTGAAAGGGATGATGTACACCAACAGTGCCCAGGAAAATGCTTGGCACATCATAATTAATGCTAAGTCTCCTTTTCTGGGGGACTGAGATTTGTTTAAGACCATATAATAATGCTAACACAATAACAAATAATAATACCTTGCACTGAACATCTTCCCTGTGCTAAGTATTTTCTCTCAGTAACTTTTTTCAGTCGCCACAGTATTATTGCAGACTGCCAGAAACATGCCCTTTTCACAACGGACAACATTAGGATGGGAAAGCTGGCAGCTGGTAAAGGGAAGAATCAGGTTTAGCACTCAGGTCTGACACCAAAGTTTTTCTTGCCACCCTTATGCTACATACTGCTTCCAGAATCCTTTTAACTCTCAAACTTGGTCATTCAGAGAAATTGGAACCTTTTCTCACTGGCAGGAAGCAGAAAGCTTTTCTTCCACACACTGGGTGAAACGAGCAGGGGCCAGTGCTACTAGGTGATGATGGGTTCCCATGGCAAATTTTCAGCAGATTAAATGAGATCTGCCTCAAAGGGTCTGCCTTAACTGGCTATCATGGTTCTCATTAAGCATCTATTAAGTCTTACTCTAGCATCTGGGTTAGGAATAGGGGGCGGGGATAAAGGAATGAAGAGAAGGGGCACCTGGGTGGCTCAGTGGGTTAAGCGTCCGACTTCAGCTCAGGTCATGATCTCATGGTCCATGGGTTCAAGCCCCACATCAGGCTCTGTGCTGACAGCTAGCTCAGAGCCTGGAGCCTGCTTTGGATTCTCAATCTCTCTGTCTCTCTGTCTGTGTGTGTGTGTGTGTGTGTCTGTCTATCTCTCAGGAAAAAAAAAAAAAAAAGAAATGAAGAGAGAAAAAAACTCTCCTCCCATAGGGCCTGAAAAGGTATTAGAGAAATAGAACTATATAGTCAGTGGCTCCATTTTCAAGGCTCCAAATCAGGGCACCTGGTCATTCATTTAGTCTAACCAGTACTTATTCTAATGCTGGGTGCTGGAGCTTCCAAGATTATGAAGTCACCTTATCTTCATCAAGAGACTGAAGGAGAAGATGTATAATGGCTCATAGGTACAATATTAAAGGTGTAACAAAAGGCATTTCAATCTGATATGTAAGTTACCTTACATGAGCATCCTCATGCAGGTGCCACTATTAGTTAACATTTATCGGGCACTTGTTATGTGCCAGGTGTTTGCTTTACAGCTTCTAGTCCATTTGATCTTCATAATAACCCCTGGACAGCACTATCCAGCTTTTACAGAAGTGGAGACTGAGACACAGTGACGACAAGTAACCTGCCCAGGGTCATGCAGCTGATAGAGACAGGAGCTGAGACTCTAACCCAAGGCATCCAGCTCCAGAGCCCAAAACCTCCACTCTCCGCCTTTCTACAAAATGTATCGATTAAACCATTTTTATTGAAAGTAGTGAGGCCCAACTCAGGAACAATATGTATTTGTTAATGGCACAGTTGAGTAATGCAATATATATTGAAGCTGAAGTTCCCAGAAATGTGTATTGTGTGGTCGTCGCATGGGTTTGTAAAATAAATGAGTAAGTCACCCAGTGGGATGGAAGTGGCTAGTGATGAGTGGATGATATGTGCAATAAGCCTGAGAGGGTGCCAGCAGAAGGGAGCCATGTCTTTTTCCTGCATCCTAAGGAACTTTCTTCTACTCAGGAAGGCAGCAGCCGGAACAAGTAGTATCTGGGTAGTAGAACCCCCTGGGTTAGGGATGATGTCCAAACCTCTTCCTGTACAGCACCTCTGAACACTGAAAGGGGCAAGAAAGACACAGGGTTTATCTGACCCACTCACACACCTGCATGGAGCGAAGGGCAGAGGTTCCTGCTTCTCTGTAAAGAGGCAGAACCGTGGAAGGAGGCCCCTTGTCACTCTCCAAGCCGTAAACTCCCTCCTGACTCAAGGCAGCTCTATAGGCTGTTGTCTCTTTATCTGGGCCTCTGTTCGGCATCACTGCCAGCATCACTGTTACTGGAAACTCCTATTCATCCCTCAGGCCCCCAGTTTAAGCGTTACCTTCCTCCAAGGAGCCTTCTCCGATCCTCCACCATTCCCACCGCTACCTCAGTGTATGTTCAAATATTTCCGCATTTTCCTTTGTTGTGTTTCTGGTAGTTTGTAACTAAATAATAACGTTGAGCAGGTTTTTAGCATCTACTCCCCTTTTGTGAGCTCCATCAAGGCAGCCACCAGATCTCTTTCATCTACCAGCAGATCCCTAGCATCCAACACAGTACCAACCAGGTAGCAGAGCTTCAACATTCTCTTTGCCTGCATAGATATGCATATGTACTAGAATGAAGAGGCCCAACTAACCCCTTCCATGTTTTCTTTCTTGTTCAGGCAAGAAAGCAAAAGAAACCTCCGCCACTACAACACAGGCTGAAGTTCCTAAGGTGTCTCAAGGCCAAACAGAACATATGGTATGCACCTGGCTACGCAGAGCATGGGGAAGGGCTTCAAGGATCCTTGGCCTTCTATTCTCTGATGCTGGGTGGGGCCCTCCCTTCTGGGTTTTTGATTTCCACCCAACACCTTGATGTCAGGCTATCTTTGACTTTGAGAGTCTCCTCCAACAGAGAAGGGAGGAATAACTCTGAGAGTGTGGGTTGGTTCCCATCCCAGCTGGTATGCACACAGATCTCTCTCAACACAAGGTGATGGGCCCGCCATCTGCCCCAAGAAACCAGACTTGTAGCGTGGCTACAGGTGTCCTTCCAAAGCTTGTGACCAATCCCCCAACTGCCATCAAAATAAAAGATGGCTATAAGACCTATTTTAACATCTTAAGTCCAGCTTCCAGAATCTGAGGGTGACCTTTTCCCCAGACATCACATTTTAAAATGTATAGGGCTCTTTGATTTAAGAAAAAAAAAAAAAAACAAACTGGCAAGCAGTTAAAATCCGCTTTAATATTCCCAGCACTTAGCCAAAAGAAGATGCAGACAGAATTGCAAAACAGCCTGAGTTTTTCTGTTGTTGTTGTTTTTTTAAATGCCCGGATTAGAACATAATTCATCTTAAAATGACGGGAGGCCTCTTCATGCACTTCACACTTTGAAATATTTTAGAAAATAGTATCCATTTTGGCAAGCCTCTTGCCACGCAAGAAACAACAGCAAATGCTTTTCTCCTTGAGTGTTAAGTCTGTTGTGAATAAGATTATAAAAAATATACTTTGCTCTTTTATTTTGCCTCTTGTTTGAGGATTTTGCTGCATCCCCTCTGCAATAACTGATTCTTGTCACATTCCTGTATAAGCAGCATTCACTGCCCCAATTTTTAGAGAGTGAAACTAAAGCAGAAGTTTGGTAAAGCAAATTTCCTATTTTCCCAGGGAAAATCATTTATTTGTTCCCTTATTCATTCAGTAAACATGTCTTTAGACCCAAGGGTGTGCCACCCACTAACAAGACCGTGAAGATCCACCAGTGACTACCTCACAGGCCCAGGCTCTAGATCTCTGGTAGAGGAGAGAGATACTGTAACAATCACAATATCCTGAATAAGGGCTAGGATGGATAAAGGAGCTACAAAGAATCACCCCTCAATCTGCCTGAGCTTTGGGGAAGGCTTCGTACAAGAAGTGAAATAGGAGCTGGGTCTTGAAGGATGTGTAGGAGTCCTCCCAGCCAAGGCATGAGTGGTAAGAAGAGCTTTCACAACAGAGGGAATAGTATATATAAAACATAAAGGCATTATACAGCTTCATTTTTTTTCTGGGTTTATGTGGCTGGAAAAAGATGAGAGAAAAAGATGCATCCACAGGGCTGAAAGAAAATAAGCAAGGACAAGAATTTGGATGGTCTTATGTGCCAAGTAAAGAATTTGGACTTTATTCTGATAGCATGGGACTAAAACAGTATAGGATGTGTTACTTACTTTCTTACTTACTTCCTTACTTATTTAGTTGAACCTAATTCAGGTCCATACAAATCTCCCCCTTTCCCTGCTTTTAGTGGTCAAAGAGGCTATTGAAATGTCTGAAGAAATACAAAGTTATTTTAAATCAGCTTCTCCGATCCAACAACTTCTTTGAATTCTCTACAATCATCCACCAAACTCTATCCAAATGTGCATTTAGCTGGGTAGATTAAGATGATCTAAAGTGTTCACCAGATTTCTTTTTTTTTTATGTTTTTATTTATTTCTAGGAGAGAGAGAGAGAGAGAGACAGCGTGAGCAGGGGAGGGTCAGAGAGAGAGGGAGTCACAGACTGAAACAGGCTCCAGGCTCTGAGCTGGCGGTCAGCACAGAGCCCGACGCGGGGCTCGAACCCACGAACCGAGAGATCATGACCTAAGCGAAAGTCGGACGCTTAACCGACTGAGCCACCCAGGCGCCCCTAAAGTGTTCACCAGATTTCTAAAGTGGCCCAAGGCTCTAAAGAGTAGAACCCTATTTATTTACCTTTGAAAACTTTCAGCTGTTTCTTAACATTGATTTTATCAGGCGGTGTGTTTACTGGCCCATTTTCCATTAGATGCCCAGTCCTGCACCATGTATGTAGACACATGGTAATTCTCTCCACAGCCATATAGATAGACAAGATGGGCAACTCCTGGAAAAGTGGGGTTGGGCAGATCAAACAATAGACGTCCACTCTCTTCATGGTGAGTGACAGCATGGTTTACACGGTGCTGCGGGGACTCATGTGTCTAACTGTTCTAAAAGCAACACTATTTTGTGCGGGACACAGGGTTAGAACACCGCAATGAGCTGGACATGACCTCTGCACCCTCCTTCTAGTTTTGTGTTGACCACTGACCGTCTGATCTTAGTCAGTCACATCTATTCCCTGGGCTGCAGCTTCCTTTGTTAAGTGAAGAGGACAGACAGACCACAGAGGTGCTTTATGCTTAGTTAAAATGAGCCCAGCAGCCTAAGATCACATCAGTCTGGTTTCAATCACTTTTTGTCAACAATCTCACACTCATGTTGCAGACGTTTTCCCACCAAGAAATTATAATAGGCATTACCTGAGGCCCACCCCCTTGTGTATCCTGTTAGTATAAAACAGAGTAGAATATCATGAAAAGCCTCAGTTACAAAAACCTTTGTTTTGTGTAAAGCAGAAATGCAACCTGAATTAAGTAATGATTTCACCCTTCTCCTAAACACACACACACACACACACCCCACCCCCCACACAAAACACTCAACATAGTAGTTTATATCCAGCAAGAATTGGCAGATATGGTCCTATCGCACTGAGGATTTGAACCACATCCTCTGGCTTTACACAGCCAGGCCTTGCAATAAATCTTGCTAGCTGTGTGGCCTCCTCTTTGGCCAAGAGACTGGAGGAGCTCTTTGTGGTGAATGTATTGCCAGTGAGATGCCTGTGTTGTTTTGGTAGAAAATTCCAGAAGAGGAGCTGCAACCAGAAAACCCTCCTGCTGAGATTTCAGCCCCCAAAGGTCCCCTGAAGGCTTTGCAGTTCAGGCCAATCTCACAGCCTTTCATGACTCCAATGGTAAAGAACAGGAATGAGTCTGAAGAATATGAGACATGGATTGACAGGTTCAGGAAGCTGGAAAATGCCCTCTACCTGTGTGACCTGAGTAATACAGGTGAGGTGGGAAGCTCACAGCTGATACATCTTTCTATTTGTGTTTTGGTCTGGAAATGGACACCTCCTTCTCTTTCACTGTGTGTGTATAGAAACCATGTGCACTGGTGCTGGGGTCACAAGTGGGAAATTCAAAGATGAGTCAGAACCAGACATGAATCAACCACCAGTTTGCTTACAGTTTCTCTGTGTCTTTGATCCTCCTCCATTCCACTACTGGAGTCTAACCCACAATCCAATCTTGTTTCCAAGATTTCCTAACCAAAGTCTTCAGCTTGCCCACTGACAGGCTGAGCTCCAAACTACTTAGCAAGGCAAAGGCTGGTTCTGTCCACCTGACCAGCCTCTTCTCCTTTAACTCATTAGTCTCTCAGCATATCGTACTCTGTCTCAGGGAAAGAGCCTGTCTTCCTCAAACATGCCATACTTTCTCCCATGGCTGCTCCTTTTCTAACCCTATGCCCAGACAGTCTGAGCTGTCTACCTCTCTTCTTCCTACCCTACCCCTTGCCAACTCTTCATCTTGTCCACCTAGCAAGCTCCTGCCCAAATATGTTTTATGTTAGAACTCAGGCTTTACTCCTCTGAGACTCCCATGATTTCCCCATGACAGATCTAGGCCAACCTTTATCTGGCCTCCTAGAGTTCTTTAATTATCATATTTGATATATTGTATTTTTTCATTTGGGGACGTACTACAATATCACCAATAGACGATCTTCCTTTTTTTTCTTTTTTTTTTTTTTTAGCTCTAGCACCTTGCATCATTCTATTCAACTTTTTAAATCTGTTTTAATGTTACTTATTTTTGAGAGAGAGAGACAGAGCATGATGCGGAGGGGCAGAGAGAGGAAGACAGAGAATCTGAATCAGGCTCCAGGCTCTAAGCTCTCGTCACGGAGCCTGACGTGGGGCTCAAACCCATGAACCCCAAGATTTTGACTGGAGCTGAAGTTGGATGCTTAACCTACTGAGCCACCCAGGCACCCCTATTCAACATTTTTTTGAGGGAACAAATAAATGAGTATAAATACATACATAAATCCAAGATGGAAGGTGATAAATACCATTATAGTGTGCTATGTGTGCATTCAGAGAAAGGAGAATTCCTTCCTAGTGAGGTGATCAGAGAAGGTTATGTTAGTGTGAAGTTAACCATTAAGGATAAAGTGCAGTTTACATACAAAGGAATGAAATAGACTTTTCTGGCAAAAGTGCAAATTATCCAAGCAAAGAGTTATGTGTGAAGCTCAGTGTAAGAAGTTTGGTTTGGAAAGAATACAGGGGCTATTAAGAAGAATGTTAAATGATAAAGGTAGAAAATATAAGATTCTCGATCCAAGAAGATCTTAGAGGCCAGACCAACGAATCTGGATTTAGATCAAGGAGAATGAATTGCACTTTGAGTTTCTAAGCAGGGAAGTGGTATGATGAAGTTATATTTCAGAAAGACCCTCAATGGCTATGTGCAGATTGAAGGAGAAACAGAAAGTAGGAAAATGAGAAAGGAGGCTATTGCAATGTCCAGATGAAAATGAAGGCCAGATCAAGGTCAGAAGCCTGGGGAATGGAAAAGAGGGAGCAGATAATAAAGCACCTGGACTGAAATCGTTGTACTTAATTACATTCTGTGTTTATGATGAGTTAGTGTATTATGTGTGGGGCCTAAAACTACGGAGTGCATGGAAGTAGAGAGAATGGTGATTGCCAGGAAAAATGGGAGATGTTGATCAAAGGGTACACCCGTTCAGTTATAAGATGAATGAGTTCCAAGGACTTAATGTACTGCATGAGGACTCTAGTTAACAATGCTGTATTGTACACTTGAAAGTTGCTATGAGAGTGGAGCTTTAACATGCTCCCCACCACAGCAACAACCACAATCAAATGGTAATTGTGTGTGATAAAGGATATGTTAACTGACCTTATTGTGGTAAATATTTCCCAATATATGCATGTATCAAATCATCATATTGTACACTTTAAACTTACACAATGGTATATGTCAATTATATCACAACAAAAGAAAGAGCAGATACATTAGTACTCTCTAGAAGTAATCATGTAACAGTAGCAGTGCTTGTATTTTCATTCTCTGTGTATATTTGTTTCGTTTTGTTTTAAATTTCCAAAGCACTTAACTCTAGACCATAATAGTATAACTACCATTCAACTCTAGACCATATAAAGTGTAACCACCATATAAAACCCAAGGACTTCAAAGAGAGGGGGAGAAAAAATTAATGAAAAATTCATCTAGCTAAATTAGAAAATCATTTATTAAACATGTGTTATGAGCCTAGCACTGCACTAGAGGCTGGATCAGAAGGAAAACTAGAAAGGATGAGACATAGTCTCTGGGGGTGCCTGGGCGGCTCAGTAGGTTAAGCGTCCAATTTCGGCTCAGGTCACAGCTTGTGAGTTTGAGCCCTGTGTCAGGCTCTGTACTGACAGCTCAGAGCCTGGAGTCTGCTTCCAATTCTGTGTCTATTTCTTTCCCTGCCCTTCTTCAAGTCTCTCTCTCTCTCTCTCTCTCTCTCTCTCTCAAAAATAAACAAACATTAAAAAAAATTTTTTTTAAAGACATGGTCTCTGGCCCCAAGGAGCTTTTAGGTCTGACACCAAGATTGACAGTAGTTAAATGCTGAAAAGCAAACATTTTCAAGGACAACATGTAGTAAAGTATTATAATTGAAGACACAAGATTAGAGTCCAAGGGAAAGAGAGTAGAGATTAAAAGAATTTCATCTTCTAATGTGAGATGAGTATTCAGAAAGGGCTACATGGAAGAGAGCGCTCTTCCCAATGTCCACCAAAGGTTCGATCAGAGGAGAGCACAAGAAAAGCTGAGATAGATCACTTAGAGATGACAGTGGACAAAAGGAGATTAAAAGAGTACTGAAAGGGTGCCTGGGTGGCTCAGTTAGTTAAGCATCCAACTCCTGACTTCGGCTCAGGTCATGATCTCATGGTCTGTGAGTTCGAGCCCCACATCGGGCTCTGTGCTGACAGTGTGGAGCCTGCCTCGGATTCTGTCTTCCTCTCTCTCTGCCCCTCCCCTGCTTGCTCTCTGTCTCTCTCAAAATAAATAAAAATTAATTTAAAAGAAATATCACTGAAATAATCACGAATCTAGGTATTCCTACCAGAGTGGTGATGGGGTTACAAACAAAAACAAACTAACAAACATCAGGTGGAGAGAGAAGACTTTTCAAAAGAAACAAATGCTAGGTTGCAGGGATGGATGATGGATCATAAACTTAGTTGCTAAAAGTCTCCCCAAAGACTGGGGCCTTTCTCATACTTCTGAACTCTTCTGAGGAAAAACAGAGTCTTGTTGATTTTGGAGGTCTACTCCAGCAAATTTGAAATGCCTCTCTCATGGTATCTTCACTATTTATGCCTGTTTTCTCTGTTTCTATGAAATTCACTGGTTCCTTGTCAGCCAGGGAATGTGTCAGCCTGATCTGGGAACATCTATAACTATCTTTAATGAGGAAAGAGGATTAACTGAGGTCATTTCATTGGTTTATTCACCACAGTATTTAGCTGACCACCACAGCCTCATTCTAGACACTGAGCAGATGATACCTACTTTGCCTATTGATGAATCAGTGTTCTTTATTATGTGCAAGGAAATATGTAGGCCAGGGTGTTCTTCATTCAGGGTGAAGACAGACCATCCATCATCAAATTAGTGTTTCTGGGAAGCTACTCTGTGCTTATTTTCTAACAGGGGTGGTCAAGAAAATATCCTTGAAGAGGAAGAATGAGAAATGACTGTGAATAACTGGTCATGTTTTCTAAAGAAAAAAGGGCGGTTGGAATAAATGTTTGAGTGAATGGTAGATTTGGAATCTTCCCAATGAACTGAAGGCTAGATAGAAAACGTTTTTGAGTTCAAGGAGGCAGAATGCAACGAGAGCCCTCAAGGACATTCTTTGCATGAGTCTGGACTTTGCACACATTGAATCACTAACTCCTCACATCAACCACATGCTGAAGGGATTAATGTCCTTATTTATGGAGGAAAAAGCCAACCTCAAAGTGGTGAAAGAATAGCCAGTGGGGAGTTGAGCCATAATTCAAACCCAGTTCTATTGGACTCCCCACTACCCTAAACGCCCATGACATACCAGAAAGAACATGAGGTTTCACTTGTTGCCTTGCTGGTTGGTTCTTTGTTTGTTTTTACCAGAAGACTTAGATTCAAGTCCAGACTTTACTAATTGCTGAGCCCTGAAAGCCAGTTATTTATATTCTCCAAGCCTATTTCTTGATCTACAAACTGTTAACAATAAAACATACCTCCCTCGATTTGAGAAAGGATCAAATTAGATTTGAGAGTTCTTTGTAAACTGTAGAATAAAGATGTCAAAGAAGGTCTTATTAGTCCTTTAGTTTTGGTGCTGGTGGGACAAGAACAGATTTTCAACACTAAGATGTATTGTAAGTGTTATTTTATGCAGCTCTCATAGGCATTCCCTAATGACAATAAATTAGACAGATACAAATTTCAGTCAGTGGACTCTTGTTTAACCCTAGGAATCTTCCACCAATGGTAAAGCTCAGAAGATAGTGGAAAATGTTCCCATGCACACCGGTGGTGATTTCTAGATGTATTTTTTAACATTACTTTTAATTTGTAATTAAAATATAAACTCAGTTGTGTATATTTTAAAAATCTCTTGTTAAGATACATTCTTATATATTTTAAATAATATTGATGCTATAACTATTATAATTATCTGATAATAATACTTGCATTAATGAGTGCTTACTAGTTCTGGGCACTGTGTTAAGCTTTCATTATATGCATTTTAATTATCCCTATATTAAAGTTGAGGAAACTGAGGTTCAAAATGTTAAAGTAGCTTCCCCAGTCAGAACTTATTCCAAAACCCAAGGCTAATATTTCTAGAGGCAGAATATGAGGAAATGTCTTGAGGGATCCAACCTAGACCGGACCAATAGCAGCCACCAGATCAAGAGAACTGCAGAGATACAATTGGCCAACTCAAAGAAAGCCATGTCTGCCAAGATCAACATTCTAATAGAAGAGATAGACAATAAACAAATGGAGAGAGGATGGGATGGGATGGGACAGGATAGAACCAAACAGAACGAATAGAATAAGTCACATTAGGACATGTCTATAGCCCACTGTTAAGAATAGCCATCAGAGAGCAGTTCAAAGGGGAGCATCATGCTCAATAGTGTTTGCTCACTTAAATATGAATGATACTTGGGGCACCTAAGTGGCTCAGTGGGTTGAGCATTAGACTTCAGCTCAGGTCTTGATCTCGCAGTCCATGAGTTCAAGCCCCACATCTGGCTCTGTGCTGACAGCTCAGAGCCTAGAGCCTGCTTCAGATTCTGTGTTCCCCTCTCTCTCTGTCCCTCCCTGACTTTCTCTCTCTCTCTCTCTCAGAAAAATAATAAACATTTAAAAAACACACAAATAATACTTGGCAGCTTAAACAGAGATAACAGGTATCCAGCAGACACAAACTCCAACGGGCCAGTAGTGACGTTTACAGCATGACTGGGGACCACCTCCGGTCTCTTTGAGAAAGAATTTCACAGTGGCTATCACAGCCCGCACCAGTACAGAAGAGGAGGAGAACAACATGCAAGAGATGCATCTTTAATCCCTAGAAGAGATATTTAAAAACTTCCCTTGACACCTGTGGTGTAGATCCTCACAATTCAAGGAACATAGTTAGGGAACAATCTGAGCCTTACTTGCAACAATCTCTTCCCCCTTATTTTATAAGGTGGTGCAGCAGTTAAATGCATGGTTTTAAGCAGCCTTGGGCAAGTAACTTACCATCTCTATGCCTCAGTTTCTCCCTCTGTAAAATGGACTGTTGTGAGTATTAAGTGAATTGTTACTGGTAAAATGTTTGGAGGAGTGCCTGAAATATGATAAATGGTATGTGTGTGTGAGAGAGAGAGTCATTATTGTTATTGTTGTATTCTAGTTAATTTTCTACATATCTTATCATCTCAACTGGTCAGGGATCTTCCTGAGGTAAAAGGTCACTTCTCTAAATCCTCTATATTCCCAAGCACGTATCTGTATCTAACATATATGAGCTCACAATTAGGAACTTATGAATGAGTACTTGATCTTTGCTAATGCTGTGTTCTACATTTAAAGCTCTTCTCTGCAATGGAGCACCCAGGTGGCTCAGTCGGTTGAGCCTCCAACTTCCACTCAGGTCATGATCTTGTGGTTGACGAGGTCGAGACCTGCGTCCGGGCTCTGTGCTGACAGCTCAGAGCCTGGAGCCTGCTTCAGATTCTTTGTCTCCCTCTCTCTCTGCCCCTTCCTTGATTGCTCACACTCTGTCTCTCTCTCTCTCGCAAAAATAAACATTAAATTTTTTAATTAAAAAAAAAAAACACTCTTCTCTGCAACTACCAAAATCCACCTACTCTCAATATGGAAAGCACCTTGGTACTGATACATATAACACATGGGTACCAGGCTGCATCCTGTGATAAGCACGGCCAACTCTATTACACAGATTGAGACACTGAGCCCTGAGCAATGAGATGACTTACCTGTAATCACACAACAGATAGGAGGGGGTCACAGTAAATACATTTCTAGAAAAGCATAGAAATGAGCTGTTTGAATCCTGCATGTTTAGGAACACGTGTGGCTACTTTATAAGATAAAAATAAACCGGAACAATTATAACTTGACTTTAGCAGGTACTCCACCTGTTATAAAAATTGGCCTTAAAAGTTTTATGGCCACAGAGAACAACCTTCAGTTGCTTTAAGAAGCTTCAAGTGTCAAAATATTAGCATTTTAGCATTTTGTTTTTACTCAGAAGTCATTTGAGCTAATAGATTTTTTTTTCTCTTTTTTGTTTTCCCCTTCTTTTTTTTCCCCAAACCTTCCACCCACCCAACCCAAATGCAGGAGTCCTGGAAAAGGAACGGGCCAGACGCCTCATTCACAACTACAATCTCATTTACAACCTGTCCCTGAGCCCTCGGAAAATCGACCAAGCCTTGCGGAGATTCTGTGCAGGAGAAAATATGCTCTTGGAGCCAGCACTTCGGTACTTAAAGGAGCTATGATAACAAACCCATATTGTGAGAACAGATGTTTCCCTTTTCTTCCTTTCTACCCAGACACGTGTTTCTCCCCAGCCCGTGTATGGTGGCAAAGGCACTGTCAGAGTCAAGGCCGATTCAGCAACTGGAGATGCTTTGGACTTGGACTTCATTTCTGGCTATGCTGCTCCCTTCTAGGCAGCCTAGAGTGACCCGAAAAAAACAGGTTTCCTCTCCTGGGGTGGCAAGAATCCAATGTCTTAAAACCCCCTTTAATTCTAACAAAGCTCCTTGTTAACATTACATGGTTTTGTCCCCTACATTGCTGATGAATCTTCGCTTTTGCAAACCCTGCAATTCCATAGAGTAAAAAATACGCCAGATATTGTCAACTCCCACAAATGCCTGTCACATAAGTATACCTAAATATATCATTGTTGGATGTGGAAGCCAGCCTTTCCTCCAGTCGCTATTCTAGGAAGGATTTCCACATGATAAGGAAAATAAAACTGGTAACAATATGTTAATACTGAGGGTAGAGCAGAATTCCAGGCGAGGTTTTCTGAACAAGTGAGCCATTGTACTCATTACAGGAATTGCTGCTGTTACACTGTCCCAGGCAGATAGATCTCCAGAGTACTGGATACACTTCTCAATGTGTGACACCAGGCACAAAGGGTTCTAGAACAGGTAACATCTTCTTTGCTCTCTCTGGCAGGAAAATCAGGCGAAACTTCCCACCAGTCCCCATAGTTTTTTCTATCCAACTTTGCACCTCTCCCAGAACACACACATACTCACACATCACACCACATAGGGAGCATGAGCTCACTGAAGGAATACTAGCCTAGGACTTCAGGGACAAATGTGTTCCCAGAACCATTATTAATGTGGCATGACCTGGATTCTGCTTTTCAGATCTGTGTGGGAGACTGGAGGAAGGAGTTAGGTCAAGGGGAAAAGCAGAGAGATCCCGAAGTATCCCTTTTTATCCATTTTACATAGGGGCATGTCTCATAAAATCTTAACAAGCCCTTAAGAATAAAATAATTTTGATCTATTAACACAAATGATCTCTAAGGGCTTCAAGGGTGAACCTGCTTTAGTTTTTATGATCCTTGAGTAACCCAGAAAAATGCCTCGTAAAGCAGACTGACCACCTCTCTAACAATTCTAGAACCCTTGGACCTAGTTGCCTTTAAGGTCAGAGAAGTAAGCAGACAAACGTGGCTTTCTCAGGCACTCCAAATTTCAAATGAGGAAAATTAGAATATTAGATCAGACAATTCAGTATACATTGGGCAACCAATGTGTGCTGGGACCTGGGCATATTTTGTTTCATCCAACTGTGACAACTCGATATGGCAGGTTTCACAACTCCAATTTGCAGATGGAGAGAGAGAGGCTCAAAGAAGTAAAAGGTGGAAGAGCTGTTGAGAGTGCTTGCCTGTTGATAACTGGCCAGAGGGATAGAGCCTCCTGGAGAACATGAAGAATGCTGCATCCACCCTGCATCTCTGTGGGGAAGTGAACTGGAGAGAGGGCTGGGTGAATGGAGGCCCTAAACATGAAGGCAGGGTTATCAGACTCAATTGTGGAGTCCTGGAGAGCAGTGGTCTTGCCGTACCCAATTCTTTTCTGTGAGATCTAGACTAGCTCCTCATGGATAGCCTTAGCACCCAGCAACTCACACAAGTGGAGGCGACTCCGTCATCAGAGACTGCAGCAGAAAGGTGCCCTAGGGCATTGTGACTGTAGGTAGTGCACACCCTGTATACCTGGAGAGCTTGCTGACTGAATGCTTCTCTGAGTGGGTGGCAATGGCCAGACCTGGATCTACAGTCACCCCGCCACCACTAGCCACCCTTCAACAGAGAACAGAAAAAGAATAGGCTTTAACCCAGCCCAAATCCATCTCCATCACTTCATAGGTAGTACCTTTAGAAAGGGTTTAATCTCCATGAGCTTCAGTTCCTTCAACTGTAAAACAGAAATAATAAAAACACTGGGTGTTTCACAGGAGTGTTGTAAACACTGAGAGTCATGCCATTTGGACAGTTCCTCGCACGTAGTAGAGAAGGACCTTTCTTATGTCCCTTCCCTTAGCAGCTGAGCATCAGGATGCTTGAACTATGGTCTGTGTGAAATGACACAGGGACATAAGGTTACCCCTAGAGCAAAAGCAAATTTTGAGAAGTATCTGCCTTCTAGAACCAAGGAACAATTGTTTCTGGATCATTTCCTGTCTGGAATTGTTCACTACTTTACCCCAAGATGTGTGTGTGTGTGTGTGTGTGTGTGTGTGTGTGTGTGTGAGTGTGCGTGCACATGGGTGCACTCGCATATATACATTTGCAAGACTTCCAGTTGGCATAAGTAAATACTTATTAATGTTTTCTGAGTAAACATTAAAAGAAGCAAACTCAAGTCATAGAAAAAAGCTAAGATAGCAAGGTGACAATGTGACAGTAGATGTTAAACGAAGCCTTACCACAAGGCAAACCATTGAACACAAACAGGAAAATGCTGTAAGGTCATTATGGGTTAGAATATTGGCTTGACCTCTGTGCTGGGACTTCTCCATGGTTTACTAACGGAAAATCTATTACCTTTCTCTCTTTTTTCCCCCTAAGGTCTGCGGTGTTTTGTATATTCCCCATGACTGTGAACTTCTAACACTGGGTAGAGAAATTCTGCTGTCTGTGGCTTGACCAGCTCTCTCTCTCTTTTTCTTTTTAATGTTTTATTTATTTCAGAGAGAGAGAGACAGCATGAGCAGGGGAGGGTCCGAGAGAGAGGGAGACACAGAATCTGAAACAGGCTCCAGGCTCTGAGCTGTCAGCACAGAACCCGATGCGGGGCTCAAACCCACAAACCATGAGATCACAACCTGAGTCGAAGTTGGACGCCTAACTGACTGAGCCACCTAGGCGCCCCTGACCAGCTTGCTCTAGCAGAACCTTTCTCCGTGTGTGTCTGTGTGCAGTGGACTGGTTAAACCCCAGTATGCCCTGGAGAGAATTCGGGTCAACTGTATCTGCCCCAACCATCTGAAAGCCTTAGCTTCTAAAATGGGTCACTGAAGAGGTGATAGAAGTTGAGTCTCACCGGTTGGACAGGTTCTTTCATGGATGTGTGACCCTGAGCAACTCACTACCTACCTCAGAGTCATTCATATTAAAGGAGATAATGGTACACATTGCCCAGCTATATACCTGTCATATAAACATGCTCCATAAGGGAAAACTGGCTTCCTATCTTATTCATATACAGTATTTCCATTTACCCCATTCATTGGACCACATCATTAAATACATTTTCCAAGTACAGACCACTTCCAAGTCAACAGGTGGCTCCCTGATTATGTAGTCGTGGAGGGCAGAGACCATGCCCTACACATTCTTATTCTTCATTCTCCCACCTGCCCGGACTCCTCAGAATAACCTAACTGTGCTAGCCTTACTACTATGCCCATTGTACAGACAAGAAACTGAGGCACATGGTAGTAAAGATGCTTTCCTAAGGACTAAGAGCTAGTGAGTGCCTGAGTCAGGATTAGGATCCAGTGCACAACTTCAAGCTCAACGGTGTCCTGCAGGTCACAGTTAGAGCAAATATTCTCTAGTGTGTGTGATCTGTCTCCCCAGCAAGTCTGGACGTCACTTCCAGCCAGGGCTCAGGTCTTCCTCACCTTTGTCTCCAGCACAGAGCCCAGATTCACCCACAAGTCGGCACCTGGAAAACATTTGTAGAATAGAGCCCCGCATGAAACTTTTGAAGCCCTGTGGCCTCCTGCCCTCTCCAGCTCTGCCAGCTTCATCACTGCCTCGTGGGGACTGAAATGAAGGGTGTTTTCAGGACTCTTGGCATCCTGTGTTCACACAAGCAGAAACACGACTGTATAGATCACGCAATCCAAAGAGTTTGCTAAGTGCTCGCTGACTCTTCAGAGGAATTTCCCAAGATCATTAAGAGAAACAATATGGGGTTTGATATTCTAATTGGGATCAGCAACTGGACAGCTTTGGAGCTGGCCAGAGAACTGTGAAGCTCCACAAACAAATGCTGGCCTTTCTTCTCTTTCTCTCCTTGCCCTCCCCCCTTCATTAGAGCCTTTCAGCTACTGTTCCAATGCTCCTTAGCAACAAAGGCCGGGGTTCCCAGAGCTGGGGTGCCTCAGGAATGACAGCCATTCCTCTCATTAGCATTCAGGCACCTCATCTGCCTGCACAGTTAGCTGTGGGACCAAGCAAAAGGCAGTGGCTTGGGGGAGGCCCAGCATTTAGCGTGGCTTGTTGGGAAATGGGAAGCCTCCACAAAGAGTTTCCAAACAAAAGGCATCAATATTATTTGTGGAGCCATCAGACTGCCTGGAGCACAATATGGCTCTGGCTCAGCCACATGCTCTCTCTCCAGGTTCTGTGTGAAGGCTTGGTGGGGACTTCCCAGACACAACATGGCCCTGAATGTCAATACATTGGAAAGCCTCCCTCCTCCCCCCGCCCTCTGCTGCCCAGTCTCTCCTCAGGCTCAGTTTATCCAGGTTGGACAATGGGTAGACTCTTAACTGGCAGTGGGGGTGCCCATAGGAGGGGAGTTGATGGAGAGTAAATGGTCAGATGGTAGGACAATTCCAAACAGATGGTGCTGCTAGGAATGCATTCCAGACAAATTCACAAGCAGACTGAGCTCTGACGAAGACTTAGCTATTGGAGAACAGTTGGTGCCTTGTACCGAGCCCTTGCTCAAAACACACATCCTGCTCTTCCCTGCAATCTTTACCGGTCCCATGAGGGAACCCCTACCTAGGTCTTGTCTCACTGGAATTCCAAAATACTGATCAACAGGCCAATCCCTGGAGGATTCCAACCAACAAAACTATTTCTCAACATTCTCATCTTGTCTCTAAGCAGAGTTTCCTTCAGACTCCCTCCCCACCTCCAGGGATGTGGACCTCACTACTTGTCCTCTCTAAGACAATTCCTTCTCCAAACAGCTCCAATTTGCTCATCTAAAACTGGTCTCCATTTTAGTCTCCTTTCTACCCTCCCTTGTGGCCAAAGAGGATGTAAAGTTTGATATGTCATTGCAACAACAGCTGCGCTAATCCTATGCCTGACCCTTCTAGGGACCAGGGAGCCAAAATCAAAAACAAACAAACAAACAAGGATAAGAAAGAAAGATTCTCTCTTCTAGAACTGATTTGAGTTGGAGAGAGAGCTCAGGAATGCGCCCTTACTTATAAAACTTTCCAGGGGCACCTGGGTGGCTCAGTCAGTTAAGCACCCAACTTCAGTTCAGATCATGATCTTATAATCCA